TGTTTTGTTAGCTAAAAAAATTAATAATGTTGTCCTTTTAAGCGTTGTAAGTCTAACAGGTACGGAGATAATTTAAAAAATTGTAAATTTATAATGCCCATTTTTATGGAGAATAAACTGTTGTAGTTTGCTTGTTTATGGATATATTTTAATAAAATTTGGCAATATTGTTAATTTTATACTAAGCAACATTTAAATTAACAAGCACACCTCATTAGGGTTACCTTATTTGTATTAACAAACCTAAGCATTAATTTAAATTCATCTTATTTAAATTGGAAATAAATCCGACAAGTTTAAGTGAATATTTTAGTGGAAATCTAGCCAAACAAATTAAAATTCGCTTAGTCTGCAGGTTTTTTTTGCAGCGGGGGTATTTAGATATACAATTAATAGCAACAGAAAGTATTAAACTGCGATTTGACGATTTAGACGTCCACATTGGTTTTAGAAACATAATTTAACACTTTTATTTAGTAAAAATTTTATTTCTTTTGTTGCAGGTAATGGTTAAAAACCATTACGTGACCTAGTACGAAATAGAAAGAGGCACTGGTGCACGTATGGAAATACTGTAACTATATAATTTAATTTGTAAAAGATTCGATTAAATTGTATGATACTGCAAATAATAGTAAACACATCGATGTATTCTAAGATCGTCCAAAAACAATCAAAAATAGATCCTTAGGCCTATTTATTTCCATAATCAATGACACGATTTTGATAATACAATACAACATCTCGATCCCCTATTTACTGGTATGGTAAAAAAGTAAACTTGAAGGTTGAAATTGTCGCCTATTGTGGCCACCCTCAGCGACTTTGTCGTCGCGACAAAATCGCGTGAAAATAAGTCGCCGCGACAAAGTCGCCAAGTGTGGCCCTAGCCTTATGATTAAAAAAGTCATATCTTCTTCGCTGCTCATATCAGCTGAGCAGTAAGCCTGTATGACATTGTTGACAGCTTAGCAGACGACACAGTCAGCTGTTGGGACGTAGTACAGTGTAGGTAGAGTGTTTGTAGTGTAAAGTAGTGCTGTGTCTAGTGATATTTGGTACTGTGTGCGAACAATGGACGATTGGGATGAACAGGCCACGTTTGCAGAAATAGGTTCGTGTGATTTTATGGATCTCTTAGTGTAAAATATATAATAAGTTTAATCTTGTCACAAAAATATTGTTATCCATCCCTTTATGTAATATAAGTCTTCAGAAGTAATCATATATAAGTTTCATATCCCTCCCCAACATCATGAAATTCCTAACACAGTTCTCCATAATGTTCAAAACCAATCCTCCTATGAAGTGATGAAACTACGCTCCTCCCCAACATTTTATCCCACTTAAAAAATATTCATTACCTGTATTGCTTTAGATGTTATTGTTTAATTTACTATATTGAATTTGAATACTACCAGTGTGGGTGTGGGTTGATGTCGACAAATTGATATTATTTTAATGGTTGATGTTAGAATACAAAGTACAAGCAGTTGTTTATAAGTATTTTGTTTTATATGTCATAATAATTTTATTATTAGTAAAATACAAGGGTTGCCTGTAGATGAAGGTCTCCACCGAGCTCTTGCCAAGCAAGGGAGTTCAAATACATAACCAATCTCATGCCACTTCACCATAATCTTCATTCAATACTTTTCTATCCGGTTCCACTCCTATCGGACGGGGTTAGTCTAAAAAAAAGTCTAGTATAAAAAAATGTAGTTGTGAGAGAAAATTGATGCTCCCGTCAAAAATTGTGCTACACATAGTTTTGTTAAAGTTATGTTAAGAAATTGTTAACAGTCAAATACCTGTTTATTGTAATCCTTTATATTGCATTAATCAACTAGTTTCAAATGATAGTCTTCCGCAGAAGATGACTACGGTTGCTTCACCCGATTCAAATAATTACTCTAATCAGGTACTTACACAATTTTTAGTACTTATTGGTGATCATGAGGCTATTATCCTTAATGAAGTTATCACGGATCATTGAATAATTAACGTTACAATGCTGTAACTTGATGACAGAAGCCGTATGTTGTAGGTCAAGGTGGTCAGCTTGGCTATGTTATGACAGACTAGACTTGCTGTGTAAGCATCAACATGTGTTTACATCTTCTTGCATACCTTACTGGTGAAACACACACATTCTTATCAATAACTGCATTATTTTTTCAGACAGTATTTTTTCAGGTGGTATTGATTTTTTTTTTATCTACTTTTTTCATACTGTTAACTTACAGGCGGTAAATACATATAATTGATGATCGATTTCAATTGGACACTCCAAGTCATTTGCCTATCGGGTCTGAGGTGATTAATTCCCATTATACTGCAGAAGTTCAAATTGTGATAAAATTATCTATACTTATTACACAAGCAGGTTTTGTGTGACACTCCTCCGAAACTACTGAACCGATTGACATGTTTTGGTGTCATTGGAAAGAGCGTAACGTGAAGTTGTGCAGGAAACTTTCTTTTTAGGGAAATTATTAGAGAGTGAGGCCCTGGGGCCCTGTATGTTTTGTATTTCTCCATAAGATTAACGTAGAAAACAAACATTGTTATGAAACTCCAGCTGTTGTCTGAAATTAAAAGTGAGAAGAAGAACATGTGTTAATTGTAAACAGTCAATAAGTTTGCTAATTTAACAGTTTGCTACAAACATTTACTTACTTGGTTGAAATAATATATTTACTATTTGAATTTGGATTGGCGTAAATATTACAATGGGAAAAATCGAGAGAGCCTGGATAAATTGATATAGTAAATATAAAACTGAATTAACACTGTGCTACATTTCTTAGTAATCATTGAAAGAGCTGATTTCCAAACTATGGAAACATAGAAAAGTCATAGAACACCACCAAGGAGAAGAAATAGAAATAATATTTTTTCTTTTAGAATTGATAATCATTATTGTGGACAACCTAATGTGGCTATGTGTAAGGCTATTTGTAGAAAACACGAAAGACAAGATCAGCTTTTGAAAAATGATAAAATATTTACAAAATATTTTGATTATATCGATCTGTCATGTACATCATGAGTTTTTCCATAATCTTTGAGTCGAATCTTTTAAAGTCATCAGAAATTATGACTGTTATTTGTTTTAAAATAACGCCTGTAATACTTAGCAATTGCTCGAATTTGAGCAACAGGGACACTAGTTGGTTTTGATTCTGCTACACAGTTTAGTGGAAACAAGAGATATTCATTAAGCAATAAGTACGATTGAGATTTCCCTGTATAATTTGCAAAGTGAGAGTGTAACTGTTTTTGTTTGTTTTTTACAGTAGATATAGAGACTCAACTGTTTTCTTAAGTATTGTTGCCCCGTTGCGGCAGAACTACTAGTTTGATTAGTGTTGTTAGTGGGGTACACAGTACACAGTTATTCTGATTAATGGCTGAGCGATCTAAAGCATTGTTTCCCCAATCGGGAGGCATTATCGCAGATTGACAGATTCAATATCATCTCTGTTACGACTAGGTTTAACACGTGCCTCTTGTCTATGGTAAGGAAGGGTGTTGACTCAGGTGGATGTTTAGGATAGGTGGATTATTTACAAGTTACACCTAAAATCAGGCATTTTGCAACTTTTTGCTCATCCTTTAATGTGTGTTTACCAAACACTATCTTATAAAATATTTGGATTTTTTATTCATGTAACGAAATTTAAAGGGTAAAAAATAGTCCTGGAATAAAATGTGGAATTCAAAGCACTGGTCCCCTGGAACAGTTTTGTACAGTACGTAGGTAGGTCAGTCCGTTCACCTGCCTACATGCAGCCCACTCGTGGCATTCTACCAGTCCTTGGTATTCATCTTGGACCTCTAAACCTCTACATTTAATTGTATCTCAGTAATGTTGGCAACAATTTAAACTACCAGTGATGCAAAGTTTCTTTATGGCAATACTGTATAGACCCCTTCTTACATTACACGCTCTCCTGTACATCTTGCTCAACTTTAGTGTGCTACTGACATAGATTATCATTGTATTATCACAAAATCTCTACTGTAAACTCTCATTGATCTAGAACCCATTAATATAGGCTTTGGTCAATCCGGAAAGCCGTTAGACATTTCATAAAATGTGTATAAAGCTGGGTTAAGAATGTGACGCGGCAAACAACGTTTTTGAAGATATCAAACTGCATTTGGTTGTGTAGTGACTCATAAACCTGTCATCAACAGACTATTTTAAATCTCCTTCAATCATAACTCTTTTGATCTCCATTAGGCCTTCCTGTGACTCTTAATGATAGGGTCGAGATTCTTAAAAGTGATTCAAAATTTACGCCCACAAAGAGTTTAAATGTTTTGTACCCCTAATGTTCAAGAACTGTACTGTAGTATTTTCCTTATTAGGATGTGATGGTAAATTATTATATTCACTGCTTTCTGTTTTGAAACTTGTACTAATATTTAATACAAGAAACGACCAGTGCTTATTAAGAAATGGTTATTGTTACCTCATAAATCAACTTGAAAAGTCAATACAAGATTTTCAGATTTTTTTAAATTTTCAAAATATAATTTATCCTCTTTTGTAAACCTTTTCCTCTGTAACCTTGTAGCGGGGGAGAGAGAGTTACCTTTAACAAAATATGGGTATGCCCCGAAATGTCATTTAAAATACATATGTTCAGGGACCCTCCCGTGGGTTTAGTCTTGTGGTAGAGAGTGGGACTTCGATCCCAGAGTTTCCCCCCGGTTCATATCCCTCTATCACCAATGGATTTTACAAAAGTGTTGATGCCACAACCTCCAGACCTAGTCCAAAGTAATGTGAAAAACAAACCCGAGTTAGAGCCTGTTTAATGAAGGTAACTCAGTTGTTATTTTCAAGCGTCCAAGTATTTCTACTCTAAGCTACAGACATTAACAGCCAATTTTGTTTGACGTATGCTATAATTTGTCAGTGTTTTATCTAGCATGCCACAACATAGTAAACCACGTTTATTATGCCTGATGATTACATTTGGTTTCAGATGCGCTCTTGGCAGACCTGCAGAACACTATATCTCCGAGCGGGTCAGGCTATGGGTCGCTCAATGGTCACACGACACGCTCAGAATACGCTACCGTCAACAGTCGTACGCGGAGTCCCACGGCGCGACCCATGTCGGTGAGTGTTAGGAGCTGACAGATATGAAGGTTATAACAGTTAGAACGAAAATGTTTGAGACCAAATGACAACTTAACAGGAGTGAAGAGTTGAGAATTAGCTTGCTTTAATAGTCATTATCATTATATTGAGAGATATGCTGCAAATATGGTTCAAGGATGAGTTTAGAATGAAATATGAGTAGTTACAGTAATATTGCTTGCCTGTTAATCAGAAGGTCGTTGGTTAGATTCTAAGAAAAGTGAGTGGCTTAGATGGATTGAAACTGTACCCAGCTGTTCTTTATCATTGCGATCTATATATTAATACGCAAGCAGTTTTCTTTTCACAGTCATAACTCAATAACGGCTTGATGGATTTTAAAGTTTGAGGTGTCAAATTAAAGGTATTTTCACGTAGATGTGCAAATACGACTCAGAATATTTAGAAAGGGCATCGCCTAAGTACACAAGGGCTAAAGTTTGGAAGGCGGCGCTATCTGTTTACATTTGAACAAACTCATTTTCCTTTGTTTACAAATAACATATGGACGTAGTTTGAAATAGTTTTTAAGGTTAACCACAGACTGCAGAACTTAAAACTTCTAGAGCAAAGCTGGAATTTATATTTTGTTTCAATCTGTTGACTAAGTCTGGTTCATAATGAAGAGTTTCCTATCAATACTAGACAACACAATGTGTTCAAGAATAATTCTTTTTGTTTATGGTTAAATTGATTTACCTTAGCCTACATCGTATTTATGTAGTTACAGTTCGATGTGATGAAGTGAATGTTTAAAAGTGATTATTCACAGGTCAGTTATCAGTTACATTACCATATTATCATGTAATTTACAATGTGTATCAAAATTCTTATTTCATTTCAATTTAAAATCAAATGCTACCAGTACGACGAAGAACTGTGAGTGGCTGGAGGGAACGTGAACATGACCGCTTGCATCAACTTCTCAATTGAACATTTGATGGGTACATAGTGGTAGTAGCACCGTTGTGATAGTCCAATCTCGGACAAATGAATGTTAAATGTTTACATTGTAGTGGCTTACATATTTTTAAGCAAGAAAAGACTGGCCGAGACAGTTAAGTTTGTACTCTTTGTTGCCATAAATGAAAGGTTCGTTTACCTCATTTGTGCAATTCACCACAATAAACTTCGGGTTCTTATTGGAAACTCCCAATCTGAAAATAGCAATGTGTGAGACTTATATCCAACAATTATTTGGATAAAGTTCGTCAATTCAGTTCTGCCTTTAATGGTCAGCTCCAAAGCTCATTAAGATGAGAAAGCTCCACAGGGGATATACAATTTTAAGATCCGTGACACGTTTTACCACCGAGTGGGTCCTCTAATTCCTCAAGAAGGTGATGATCCTGAATAATAAGCACAGATATATAAGTAAGTACAACGATGTCACTAGAACCCAAAGGAGAACTAAGCACAATAAAAAAAATGCAATGAAAAAATATGCGGGAAATAGGGTCACAATGCCAACCCATTTGCAAATCTTTGAAGACTGTGGCAGACATTATGTAGGGGCGAGAGCTCCGAGGAGTCAAGTGAGATTCTTATGTACATAATAAGAGACAGAAGAAGTGTCTTCCCTCGCTGCAATGGTGCTACCTGTGTAGATTTCGAGCTGAAAACAAAGCACCACCTGGCCAAATAAATCATATAGTTTTCTCCAACACTAATAATGTTAAACGCGTATCCATTATAGATCTGTCGTTAGATCCACTTGCTTACCCTCTTATCTTATGTTCCCAACCGCAGAGACTTGGGTTGGGGCCCCTAATTTTACGCCTAAAACAGAACACATCAAAGAAATCATTTTAAAATGCTAGAATAAGAGTAGCGATGGTTGGCGTCAAGAGAGGAATTGAGCTACATTAGGTCAAAAGCTCACTTTACAGTGTGTGGTTGACATCTACGTGCTCATAGAGTGCGACATAGAGTGTGACCCGCCTACTATACATAAGAGATAACCAAAGCAGTATGAGGTGAATGTAAATTTAAATATTGTAGATTGCTTTTATATTTTTTTACATCATAATATTTTTATATTTCTATAATCAGTCATATAAATTATTTTAGAGTGTCTCTTTGATTAAGGTCTTGCTGTTTATGTTTTTTGTTTATTTTTTTTATACAAGTTTCAGTTTTGCTCAAATTTGAGCAACAGGTTATCTAGTTTTAATAAATGGGCCTGGTCATATTTGTAAAATCAAACACCTTATAGTAATTTTATTTTAAAATATTAGAAATACTCGTAGACGTTGAATTTTGTGTTGGATATAGGATGGATAAAGACAAGCAACATACATTGAGAAGGGGACGCTTCCTAGGTCATATTTTAACCCAAGTATGAGTGTAGAATGGAGTGAGATGATCTGTGTAGCTTTGTTACTAAGATCAGCTGATTCATTGGCCAGGATCATTTATTTAAAGCCCAATGATCAGGTTCAGCTGGGTATAGTTTCGAACATCAAAAAGCTGCCTTTTCCCAGGATCGATCTGGCAACCTTTTGATTGCTAGGGGAGCGCTATAACCAATCATCTACCCAGCAAGACAAGACTCAAATATATACAAACTTTGGTGTAGAAGTGGACATCCCACTCTAATATTAAATCTGTAGCTGGTTTAGACCAGAACAACTTAGAAAGAACAATTTTAGAGTGTAAAATTTTTTATTCCACACCAACTATTATAGTGCATAAAATTAAGAGAGGAAAAAATACTTAGATAGTCGCTCACTCTAAGGTTGGGTTTCACTCACCTGTGTTCTATTTGAGTAGGATCATTTGCTTCAGCTGATTTATAGATGGAATGTCTGATTTAGTTTCCAAAAGTAAGTGGTAAATTGCTAAATACTTGCCTCAAGTGCAATAGTTTGTACTTCTTTTACCCGGTTATGAAATAGTTGGATGGTTGGCCACAGCTGATGTAGTTCTATCATTCACCGCTAGATGGTACGAGTCTTCATTTCTCTCACACACAGCTATTTATAGCATCTCTTACTCATCTCTCAAAGAGGAACTGGGTTTATTTAGCTGAGAACTACTTATTTTTAGTTTGCGACACTACAAATTGTAAATTTAAATATTTTGTTTATTTTAAAGTTCAAATAAATACCTTCCAGATTCTGTTTTGATACTTTCCATAACTGTTTAATTTGACGTGCCAATGTATTGTTGGAAATTGAAATATCAACTGGCGAATAAAATCTCATTCTCTTTCTCATTCTCATTATCATTATCATCATTCTCATTCTCATTGTTAGTACTAATATGCTAGTCTAATTGTTGTGTATATGCTGAATAGTTTACTCTATAGAATCCACAAATTAGGTGATAGAAAGAAATATATGTGAAATAAATAAATATCATGTAAAATATTTGTTTAGTCTTGAATCACTTAATATAGAAATCTTATATACTAAAAACCTTTTGCAAAACTTATGACAACTAGCCTGGCAATACTACTGGACCAAATTACACGCTGTTGGTACCAAATGAAAAATATTTTCCTGTAGATGTGCAGAATCCCTTTATAAATTATATAGGCTTAAAAATAAGCACAAAAAATGAATTTAAAAATTAAAACAATAACATGGACATTATGGGTTGCCATGTTGGTGACGAAATAATAACAAAATATAAGCAGAAAATCAAAACAAATGGAAGAAATTCCAATCACATGCTTTATTTACAGCGTGGGGTGAAAATAGAGATAAGATTGCACAATACATAATTTTGGTCGAGTTTTTGACCACGGGGCGAGCTCTCATAATAGGTTAATTTACCTTTATTTGGTCTTGTGATTCTCATCCAAACCTAGAGGAGGTTATAAGCATCACAAGACAAAATCAAGGTTAATTAATATCTTCTTTATAATGATGGTTAAAATAATGTTTTCAAACAAAGACACTGTCTAGTAAATACCATAAGTGTCATTCTTCAATCCCAAAATTTTTTAGTATGACATTTCCTGATAAGTTTTTGTTTACTAATAAACTAACTTTGTTGTGGTCAATCTGGTTGGATAGAAGTAGGAGTAGTAGTGGAATTATTAACTAGTGGCCTGTAGGGGTTATAGCCCCTAATTTAGACACAAGTCAATATGAAGGCAACCCCACATTTTGCGGTAGTAAGTCAGAAATATATCTATGAATTTGTCCCTGATTTTTAAAACAGTAAGGCCCATTTCCCGTAATCTCTTTTTGTGTAGCGGAAAGCGTCTCAAAATACATTGCACTGTTGTATTGCCTTATGTTTTTTTATGAAGTTAGAATCATGTAAAATATTACTTTTAGTTTGTCATTTAATTGTGGTAGTGGCATGTTAATGAGTCCATTGTGGTAACATGCGTCGAAATGTCCATTTGTGGTGGCCTCCTCTGCGAAGTGAAATGCGCCACAATGCATGCAAGTACTGTTAAGAGCTTGTGGATTTCTTTGATATTTAGGCCTTACATGACGTTCTCTTTCAGCATTTCTTGTGTTAGTTGAATTCCTGGATATTCTTCCACGTCTTGCAGGTCTTCCCCTACCCTGTCTAGTTACTTCCTCATCGTAAAAACGGAAAACCAAAAGATTAAACGAATACATTTCATTTTGAAACATTATTTAACAACATTGACTTTCAGAATAAATGTAAACAAAAAACAATAAGCAACAGCTGATTAGAATGCAGACGTTTTTCAGTCCCCATGCTTTTCTTATGACGGATATTTTACGTTATATCTCATTTTCTAGTAACTTTATGGGAATTCTACTATTTTTCCCGAGTCCCTGGGGTCAAGACCTTTAATTTAAGACCAATCCCACTTTTCTGACCCCTCCCACTTACCAGACGTCCACAATTTTCTGGTAAAAATTCTGTCTTACAGAATTATATATGAGGATTTTACTTGGTCCAAATTTCATGGCTATTTATAGATGATAGGAGACTTGACTCATTCTGGATAAACTATCTGTTGATACTTATAAAGAGGAAATGTCGCACTTGTCTTTCACCAAGTCTATGTATTGTGTTTTTTTTTTTTTTTTTTTTTTTTTTAAGAGGTTGGCGGCCTCTTTTAACCTTGCATTTGCCCGTCCACATAGACTACAGATCTGTGCGTGGAACGTATCCAGCAAAGCAAGGGGTGAGCCGGTACAGTACAAAGGTGAACTGTACTGATAAAAGTTAGTGGCAGTGACCAGGATCCGAACCCAAGACACTACTGCCTTGGGCCCGAAGTCCGCGACGCTACCGACTGAGCCACCGACTCACCAAATTTTATTCATTTTTTTTTCATAGAGACTATTTATTATTTTTTGCTAAAATCTCAATGCTTTTATATTTGCCTTGATAGTCAATCAAACTTATTTTTCTATTTGTATGAATTTATTTGTGTCAGGGAGATGGTGGAATACACAGTTGACATCAAGTACAGTTTGAAAATAAAAAGACATGAAAATAACAGTGTGGTTGTGACGATGGAACTATATTTTTCTGAAGGGAGTGTACTGCACAGCTGATGTCAGTATTGTTTTGTTTTGTTTCGTGTTGTGGTGTAGTGACCCAGCGTCTATTGCCCAGTAGGTCACATTGTCTCAATAGTTGGCAACTGAGTGTCATGTGATCAAATCTGCACACGACACTGTACATCTCTCTCTTCTACTCTCTCTTTCTATCTCTTGCTGTTTTCATAAAGTATTGGGACTACCAGGATACATTCATGCTCAATAGAACCTTTTGTCAGCTCATTAGAAAACTTATAATCCTTTTGGAAAAATGATGGGTCATTAGCATGGATTTTTTGTTAAAAACCAAATGATCAAGGCATAGAATGGAGTGAGATGACCTGTGTAGCTTTGTAACTGGCCAAGACAGCTTCTTTAGAGATAATTTATTAGAGATAATTTTATTGAATGACTACTATCAACACTTTATACTATTTATAGGCAACCATTTATAGGCATGCACTGTGGATACGATACTGACACTCCCTGGTGTGCATTAACGTCCGCACTAGTGAGTACTACGACTATCCAGTACTATCCTGATAATTAGACCAATTCGTTAATACCAAGGCAAAATTGTGGTTCGGATTCCAATATAAACTTAGGTGCCCCTTAGTTGCCATTAGCTGTATTGGCTATTAATTAAAAGCTGTGTCTAAGGAATATGTCGGCCTTAGTCACTAACAAGACTCCAAGATCGCACCACCCATCCTACACTCATCTCCATTCATACTTGGCTTAAAATACCTACTTTGTATGGTCGCCATTCCATTGAAAAGTATTTAATTAAGTATTAACAGTTGGGCCCTTTTTCAAACTATCAAAAGCTGCTATAGATTCTTGGGTATATGACAACATTGTCAACCCTTTATTTTTAAAAGGTTAACTGGTAAATTTATATTATACAGATGTGTACTCATACAGCAATATGATATCAGTATTATTTTTTGCAGCCCATGTACCAGAATGAAGGGGTGACAAGTTCCAGCAAAATGACCACATCTCTCAACAACAACCTGTCAGAGCTAGACACTTTGCTACAAGACCTCAGCAATTCTCGCTACTCTGAACGTAGAGGTGAGGATCATTTATGTTTACTCTACTCTTCCATAAGTGTTGGGTGTGAACAAAACGCTACAGTACAGTTGGTTGGTTGACTTTACATAGCAAAGGAAGTCGTCACCATCTCATTTATTGATATTATATAGTGGTGAGTAGGTGGCTGAGTTGTTTGTGCAACTAACTACAGTAGAACATCACTAATTCAAACATCGATAATCAGAAATGATTGTCTGTTCCCTCAGAAAACCTCTAAAATTAAAAAAATAGTATACCGATGATTCAAAGTGACTTTTACACTTAATGTAGCCTCTACATTTCAAAGTTGCACATACTTCGAGCCTCCACAATTCAGATTTGGTTGCCATAATTTCAATTGTTACCTCCAAAATTGGAAGTCAACCTCTATAAATTCAAACCGCGTTACGTAAGCCTCTGTAATTTGAATTTATGAAAAAATACGCTTGTTGAAACATGAACTGAAGCTCTAATTGATTTTCCCACGATGTGTTCATGTGTTCCTTAGTCTCCGTTCTCTCTAACATTCTACACTTAATACTGGGACCTCCATCATTCGAATTTTATTTATTCTGACATCTATTATTCAAACTTCCTATAGTTTAAAATATATTGTCTTTCCTCTGAAATTCGAATTAGTGAGGTTCTACTGTACAAATCCATGACATCGATGTTGTGGGTTCAGATCCAGGTTATAGCCACTAGGCCTGTTATCTATGACGGTTCAACTCTTGTAGGCTACTCTACTCACCCATTGCTTTGCTGGTTAGGTCCACGCACCGGCCCTAGGCCTATGTGGACGAGCAAATAAAAGATTAGGGATTGTCAACCACTTAAAAAAAAAAACTGTGTGGTGCAACATCTGCTTTTGTTATCTTTTTCCCCTTATGAGGGAAATGTTCGGCCCTTTGGGTCTGCTAAAACGGGCAACATATCACATAGCGCAAGACACCATCAAATTATGTACAGTATTGCTTTTATTGATTACACACAAATTTCATTATGAGTATGATTTCACAAAAAATTTTTGTAAAATAGCATTCATGCCTATGTATTTTATCACAATGGTTTAACCAACATGTATATGGTGAGTTGCTTGCCATTGCCAATAGGCACACAGACTATGACATTGACGTTCACATTGTTATGCTGTGTTAATATACTGCCCCAGCTGCTGGATAAAGTAGTCAAAGATCAAATTTCCAAATTAGATTGATCACCATAACCATAACTGCCTAGGCTCGTGCCTTTAAAACTAGTACAGTACGAGTGTCGTCAAGGCTAATTACGTGAGTTGCGTAATAGTATATTACGTTACTAGTCCTGAAAATAAGTGTTTTACCGGACGAGGTTGGTCGTTCCCGTGCAAGACGAAGTCGAGTACGGGATTACCATACGAGTCCGGTACACACATTTTTAACGAGTTACGTACGATAGTTTACGCCATACTACTAAATCTGTACAAATTCTAATATATTTTCACCTACTAAAGGACTAAATATCACTAGTCATAACCTCTAAGGGAGGTTATGTTTTTGTTTATAACCATTCATTGCCACCTAAATATAGTATAATCAGCTGATTGGTGTCCGGTAAAACTCATTACAGTACAGAAGTACGCAATGAAACCCCATTTGAATAAGCTGGCGGCAAACAACTGTTTTCTGGACTAAATCATTGCGTGGAAAGTTTGTCAAAATAATGTAGTGTGGCGTAAACTACTTTACCTACAACCATTTCTTAATTACTAAAAATATCACTACTCATAACTTCCAAGAGAGGTTATTTTTTAACTAACCTCTCATAGCCACTGGTTGTTGTGCAACCACTTATTGTCCCAACCACTCACTCATTGTTTAATCAATTAAATTGGTCTTTACAGCTGATAAGTTGACGTTCAACGTATTACAATTTTACTTATTTTCTCTCAATTCAAGAACCTCATTGGTCCAAACTTGTACTATAAAGTAACAAAACAATACTGTAAAGTGAGTAAAAAAGTACTGTAAAGTGAATCTTTTCAATTCCAAGAACTGAATTGAAAAGGCTAGTTTAAAAAACGGTCGTAGATAATAGTAGATTACGCAACCCAAGGCCTAAGACTATTTACCAAGTTGCGTACACTACTTTACCTACGACAGTTTTTTAATTACTAACAACTATTACTCATAACTTCTGAGAGAGGTATTTTTTTTATTTATAACCTCTCATTGTACTCACTCATTGTTTAATCAATTAAATTGGTCTTAACAGCTGATAAGTTGACGTTCAACGTATTACAATTTTACTTATTTTCTCTCAATTCAAGAACCTCATTGGTCCAAACTTGTACTATAAAGTAACAAAACAATACTGTAAAGTAAGTAAAAAAGTACTGTAAAGTGAATCTTTTCAATTCTAAGAACTGAATTGAAAAGGCTAGTTTAAAAACGGTCGTAGATAATAGATTACGCAACCCAAGGCCTAAGACTATTTACACAAGTTGCGTACACTACTTTACCTACGACAGTTTTTTAATTACTAACAACTATTACTCATAACTTCTGAGAGAGGTCATTTTTTGTTTATAACCTCTAATTGTAACTGACAGTGATGCAACGAATCATTATAAATTTAATTATAAATCATTAAACTCGCACCACTTATTAACAATTGAATTGGTTAGCTTTCACCAGCTGATTAGTTTAAGTTTGAAGCATTACAATTATACCTTTAACTATTAATACAATGATTATACTTAATTTATTTAAGTATTTAGGTGTAAAGACACCTTAAAAAAACCTTCAGCTTTACTTCCTATTGTACTTTTTTTAGATTTCGATTGCAAAATTAACAGTTGTAAAATACATTGTGTGAGAACTCGATGACAATGTACATTGTGTTGTTTCAGCCACAGACATGAATGGGACGTTGGGACTCGGCCGGCCGTCGGTGGACAGTCTACTGGACGAACTCAATACAGCGGTGCCTCCCCAGTGAGTACACTAGGATAAAACTGTACACACTGTATGTAAAAGTTAAAATACAGAGTAAAAAATATATAATTAGAGAGTTTCGTCAATCCAAACCCTGCTAAATGAATGGCGAGCTAATCCAAACCACCTGTTTAAGAGAAAACCTTTCGGTATTTAACTTAAAACATTTCAATCTAATGACCTATTCACCTTCTGTGTTATTGTTATCATCTATGTGTTCTGATATCCTACCCAGGGTGTCAAAGTGACAGGGAAGCGGAGAAAAGTGGGAATTTTATGCAAATTTTGACTATCAGGAAAAAGTCTGGTTTGCTATTCAGCTGGTTTTTGTGTCAACCCCTTTAGAAGTTGAGCTTAGACAACAAGTACATAGTCAATGCAAGTCAGATTATTTTAGCAGGTATTTACACAATTTTAAATATACAGCAGCATCAATTAAATCAAAATGTAATCAAATAAAATCTGGGACAATACACTACAACTATTTAATGTAATAGCTCTTGTTACATTTTGTCTAGAAGTGTCAAAATGTCAAGAACCTCAAAAAAAATTTTACAAAGTCAAAAAGTTGTAAAGCTACAAAAGCTCTTGGTAAAATGTCATCTATACAACAAATTTGTTTTCATAATTGTTTAGATATCCTTATATATAATACGTGAAGGCGATTTCTACGAAACACTACTCCTCTGTTAATAATGGACAAATTTTTACAAACGACATGTCAAAATAAAGTATTTTTTGTGCAGACACCCCCTTTCACCAATTCCTGTAATAAAAATCCTCGGGCTTTGCCCCACAGGCCATCAAAGTTGGAGTTTCTCCCATAAGATTACCATGGTGAATCTAAATATTTAATAGGAAACTTTGTCCCCACTAATGTGAGAGAACGGCTGGGCGTAGAAACTTGGTAGAGGTGTCCAAAGAAACGTCTTGGTCTGTAGATGAGTTATCAAAAGAAAAACTAATCAAAATCCCTTAGGACTCTGCCCCAGAAGCCTTTAAAGATCCCTCCACAGAGTTGTTTACATTTTGGCCATGTGAATAATACTTTTTAATTTTTAAATTGTATTTCAAACAACACACATTTATTGGGAGTTACTGAATTCTACCAAATAAGTATTTGCAATGTTATTTTCTGATTTTAAAATTGATTTTCTTCTTTATCATGTCATGTTTTGCAATATAACGTCCCATTACGAAATCAGCGGAAAGTCCTTTTATCACAGCAATTCTTAAATTATTTCTTATTGAACAATCTTATATCACTTGTAAACATAAATTATGTGTTTCCAGATCCAAACCTTCATCAGGATCAAATAAAGAGTGAGTTAACTGTAAATGTTGGTCAATGTATGAGTCAAGGTGATGCTTTATGCTTGGGGCTGATGTCAATGTGTAATGTGTTATGTGTTATGTCATAAAGTGATTGTTGTCTCACATGTTTATCACACTTATGTGTTCAATGTCGATGTCTATAGCTATGTGTTGCTTGGGATGTGGTGCACATTGTTGTCTTATGGTGTTTCTTGGTGCCTAAAGGCATAGATAAAACATACTCCCACTCCCTTAGTAGATTAGTCATCCTAATGGAACAGCTGAAGCCAATTTTATTGTTAGTTCTGTACGTCCAACTATAGAGGTTATGTTTTGTTTACAATTTGTTTCTTGTTATTGCAGTCATTTAAAACCTCATTTAACCTAATAAAACGATATAATCATAAACAATAACTGGTCTCCTAGTTATACAACCAAATAGTAAAGCACAAACCATGAAAATAAGCCTAAAATAATAGAAACAAAATGTTGTCTACACTAGCGATCAGTGTGGACGTACATGAACTAGAAGCAAAAACAAGCTTCAAAATTTACAATGGGATGAGGAGTCTACTTGTGTTGCTTAGTCTATGCTAAAGGTTTCTACTGTTATGTATTTAAACTTGCCATCTTGTGACAAAATCTACTAGAACTGTACGAGCGTGGTATAATTGTTCATGTCTTACTTCAGGAAAATTTTGTTGTTTTCAATACATGCGTTGCGAGCCAAAGATGACATTAGCTGGACAGTTTTCTTTAACTGTATAAAATTTTAAGTAATCAGACTATCATGAGTAATGATGTTTGTTGTTGATTTTATCTTTTTCTTTAATTTTTGTCTGATGGATTGTAATTATTTTCTTTTTTAGTAATCCGACTACGATGAGTAATGATTTTTTTTATTGATTGTGTCTTGTTCTTTAATTTTTGTTTGCTGGATTGTAATTATATTCTTTGAATGCTAAAAGATAAGTGACAAGGGATCGTAAAACACCCCAGATATACAAGAAAGTTTATCACAGCTAGATTGATTCAGTTAATGAATATTAAATTAGTCTCTTGGAGAAGATATGCTAAAAGATAACAATATTAGCATATATGATTTCAGATCGTTGTATTGTTAAAAGCACTGTTTGTGTACTGTCAGTGTATCTTGCTATGAGATAAGAAGTAGGTTGAAATAATCTTTTCATCACTCTGTTAAGAAAATAGCTCATATTCATACAGCAAAGCTTTAGGAAAATCGTCATTTTCCATTCTATCATGAAAGATAAAATTTTGACTGTTCTAAACATTATTTTTCTTGTCCTAAACAAACTTTTACCTGTATAAAACAACCTTTATTTCTAAAACAAATTAAGTTTCTGTTCAGCTCAACAGAAGCGCTAGTATACATAAGTTATGTATTTTTTTATTACAGAAAAATGCTAACCAAATAGAGGTAAGGTCAACAATTAAATAGTGACATACTCCCGAACCTAACAGCAATCTATAAAGAAGTATGTTTTACTGTATAGTCTAAACAAATTACAAACAGACTCTAAAACAATTGTAAGAAATATAATAACTTTACTGGTTGTATTCTACAGTCATAGTAAAAATCTGTATTCTTTTGTAAACTTTTTGAAGTTATAATGTTGTAAAAAATGCTTTAGCTAAAGCTAAGCTTTCATTTCAAATCATTAAAAAAGTATGACAGGCTAATCATGTGTTTTTGAATATTAAAAGGTAACACAATTATGTAATTACTATACCTGTAAATGAAAACTGGGACCCTCGTAGCAGAGTGTGTCTGTCTCCGTTATGTTGTGTATTTCTGTTGGATCTCAGCAATACAATACAATATTCTTTATTGTTAATTCGTCAAGAATTACAATAGTGTCAATACAATAGTGAATTGTACATGTTAATTTTCATAAAATTCCTTTATTGAGTAGAAGGGTCTTGCGATTAGCCACTTCTTCAGCTCCTGGTGTAGCTTGTTGCCAGTCAGGTCTCTCAGGTAGTCAGGTAGATGGTTCCTCAGCTTGCAGCCGGTGTAGGAAGGTTTTTTCTCCCAAAGAGTTGTTCGGTGAACTGGTAGTGCAAATTTGGAGCCATGACGGGTGTTGTAGTGGTGCAGGTCTTGGTTTCTTGGGGGGTTTATTTCATTCACATACTTAATGGTTTCAAGTATGTAGAGAGACACCACTGTGAGGATTCCTAGGTTTACGAATGCTAGTCTGCAAGTCTGTGGTGGTACAAGGTTGGCGAGGGCTCTTATGGCTTTCTTTTGAAGGACAAGAATTCGATTCATATTTTTTGTTGAAGTTCCTCCCCACACTGTCAAGCCATATCTAAGATGCGACTCTACCAGTGCGAAGTAAGCTGTTTTGGGCAAGCTTTGGGTCGAGTCCAATCCAGTTTTGTGGGGGAAGAGTTGTATTTCAACGGAACTGTTTGCTTGCTAACCTCATTGTGGCACGTTGCAGCAAGATGCACCTCACAAAATATTCCAAAAAAATAAATAAAACTAAATTATTACTAGTTTTTATAAATGTTGAACACATAAACAGCAAGGCTTTTTAGTATGCTTTAACTAAAAATAAAATACAGTAATACAAAAACATAGAAAGTTTACATTGGCTGTGTTTAGAATATATTTAATAGACAAATAGTTTTTTTCAGAACTTTTTGCAGGGAAAATTAATTGAGAGTTATGTTTCATTTTTTCTGGATATCATTATCATCTTAAAATGGATTTATTGAAAAATTTGCAAAATAATATCTAACAATTTTATTTTATTTTTGGTGCACCAATTGATCTTCATTATTCTCAAAACTTTATATAAATTCAATTGTAGATATTAGATAATCATGACGATTGTTGAGTTTGAATTGATTCAAATTAAACCTTGGAATAAAAATTATCTTTCGGTCTAAAAGTGATTTTAAATTGTCGTAAGATCTTTGAATGGAATACCCACGTATGATGTTGAGTGGTATAACTAACACATCCGCTGAAATTGGGTGAAAAAGGGTGTAGCGTTCAGAAAAAAATTTGTTGTGCTTTTTGAATTTTGTTCTTATAAAATCTTGATATTGCTTAATAAAAATACATTTTAATTAGGTACTTCTGGTTATCAAATACTTGATGTATTCAATTGCTCTTTAACGAAATTTCTTCTGCAGACTTTTCCTCTGACTAAACTTGATGTATAAAAGTATTTTTCCTGATGAAACAACTCAGTAATTTAGTGGTTACCCTAAACTTGTCAACTGTTACGATGGTCTCAAGGCTCACCTAGAACTGTTGTAAACATTTTTATCATGACCCAGTTTGCATTTGTTAAACATATAGTAATGCTTTCTAACTCAAGATCAAATTAAATACCTCCCCCAAACAGAGCAAATCTACAGACTATGATTGGATTAACTAAAGTATTGCCTTAAACATTTCAGATTTATTTCCTACTTAAATACAGTAAGTAACATTAGTTTGACTATATAATATAATGTCTCTGTTGTAGAACCAAATAAAATAAATTAAAAAAATACATACAAATATTGGGGTTTAAGTGATACTAACATTTAACAACAAATATTTGGTTGGTGGGAAAGGGAAGATAATTTTACTTATATAAAACTACTGAAGACAATAACCATGATTATAATCTTTCAGTATTGATTTACTCCGTTAACTTCTGAACTTCTTGGCAAATAATCTTTACTGTTAGGTGATGTCACGTTATTGATATAGTTTCATATCACTATGTATGAATCGAAATAATTGCATAGTATCTGTAATTTTTTATAGCATAAATGTTAACATAACCTGGCCAAATAAAAAATAACAAATTAGTTGGGCCGAGTTAACAGGAGAGGAAAGTATCAACATTCTACAACGTAAACTGAGACAAAACTGCCAACTTTTTTATTTATCTTAATACATTTATACCGTAAGAATTTAAAAGACAATATTTTATAAATACTCCTATTATTATGGACTTATTTGCTGTATATTTTGATTTTGCGGTATTTGTTTACTTTAGGGGCTTCTAACGAATTTTGAAAAAAATGTTATTTTCTCATTCATTGGCCTATTTTAAACACTTTTTACATTTGGCACTTTTGGGGCAAACGCCTATTTCAACCTAAAAATCGCGTTTGAAAATTGCAAAAAGTGCTAAAAATTTGAGTGGTATTTTTATTCTTAATGTGTTTTTACTATTACTTAAGACCTACAGAACTGAATATAATCCAACCTAGCTTTATCTAATCTAATCTAACCTAACCTAACCTAACCTAACTTAACCTAACCTAACCTAACCTAACCCAACCCTACCTAACCAATGCTTAGATTAGCAATATGCCGAAAAAAGCGGATTATTAGTTAAACCAAGGTTAGGTTAGGTTAGGTTAGGTTAGTTAAGTTTAGGTTAGGCCTAGGTTAGGTTAGGTAAGGTTAGGTTAGGTTAGTTCAGGTTAGGTAAGGTATGGCTAGTTATTAAGTTATTATTTAATTTAATTAGCCTAAAATCACCTGAATATTTGAAATCTAACCTAATCTAACCTAACTTAACCTTACGTTTAAACTAACCTAACTATATTTAAACTAACCTAACCTAACCTAACTTAACCTAACCTAATCTAACATAACCTAACCTAACCCAACCCTACCTAACCAATGCTTAGGTTAGCAAAATGCCGAAAATAGCGGATTTTTAGTTAAACCAAGGTTAGGTTATAATAAACATAACATCTGCTTATTACTACAATAATAAAGACACATTTAAAGAAAGGCAAGGGGGGGGGAAACCTGATTTTCAAAGTAAAAATGGTAATTGCTGAAAAATTTTCGCGATTTTCAAACGCGATTTTCAGGGTGAAATATGCGTTTGCCCCAAAAGTGCCAAGTGTAAAAAGTGTTCAAAATAGGCCAAATAATGAGAAAAAACATTTTTTTCAAAATTGGTTAGAAGCCCCTAAAGTAAACAAATACCGATTTTGCAATATTCTATAGATATAAA